TCTCTCTATCTCTCTCTCGCACAAGGGCGCACGTAAAAAGTCGTGCACACAACAACATCGCGACGCCGTCCCTGGTCTGCTGCGCCCTGGGTGGGGCGGGCCGCGGCTGAAGGGAAAGGGGTGGTGAAGAGTGTTGCCGCCGCACCACCCGGCGAAGCTATTTTCTGCATCCGCCTCCGCTTCGACTAGGCCGTCATTTAGATGCCCTTAACCAACAACCTCCCACAGTATACGCCTCCCCTCTGACCCGTGTCCCTTCTCCCCCGCCTCCACCCTCCCCTCGCCGCCCTCCTCGCATTTAATTTTGTCACGGCCTTTGAGTACGTGTGACTTGTTGCACGCCCCGCCACGCCCCGCCACGCCTCGCTCGGCCACGCCTCCGTGACCTTCAATACCGCTCATGGACTATGCATGGCGCGCGTTGGATGCCATGGACCTGCCACTGCCCCTTTCTTCCCCTCCCTTGAGGCTGACGCACGGCCCGCACCTGGTCCCGCCACTCTCGGCCCTCTGCCTCAAAGGGTAGCGCTGCGGGAGGGTCGTGGGTGTAGTGGTGGACGGCCCACGGGCTAACGCTCCGCACAAGCTCCTGTGCCCGTTCAGAAGGCTCCTTCACACTGTCGTACTTTCCGCTTATGCATTCCCCCCCTTCTGTCCTGGCGGCGCGCCACATAGGTGCTGTGCAACACGGGCGGGCTGAGCAAAATCCCGCTGGAGGAGCTGCCCGCCTCGGTGCAGCACCTCAGCCTGCACCGCAACAGCTTCTCGCACATCAAGACGGAGGCGTTCGCCGGGCTGCGGATGCTGAGCAACCTCTCGCTCGACCACAACAACATCACCACCATCAAGCCGTTCGCCTTCCGCGGCCTGCCCCGCCTGCGCGAGCTGTCCATCCAGCACACGCCGCTGGCCGTCATCTCGAGCTTCTCGTTCGCCGGGCTGCAGGGTGTCGAGGTGATCAAGCTGTGCCACAACCGCATCCACCGCGTCGCGGCCGAGGCCTTCGCCGGCACCAGCAACATCAAGTGGCTCGTGCTCGACAAGAACCCGCTCAAGGTAGGATGCCACACGTCACTTATTTGCTTGATTAGAGTAGGCCGTGTGCAGAGTGCCTTAGGCGTTAAGCTATCCGGGATTTGGGATCCGATTAATCAGTTTGGCGTTAGTACGGCTCAAGGATCTGTCCTGGTGTCGCAGGTGGTGCAGGCCAAGGCCTTCTCCGGGCTGACCGTCGTCAAGCACTTCATCCTGCCCTCCGGGCTGGGCACCATCGAGCCGGACGCGTTCAACGGCATGGACCACGTCGGCTTGTTCCGCCTCGCCTACATGGACCTCGTGTCGCTGGACGCGCACACGTTCCGCGGCCTGCGCCACGTGCACCTGCTGCTCGTGCAGGACTCGGACCTGGGCGTCGTGCGCGCGCGCGTCTTCGAGGGGCTCGCGCACGTCCTCGACATCGCCATCAAGAACAACAAGATCGACGCGCTCGAGGAGTTCCACCTGCTGCACGCCAACCAGGTCAAAAATCTGAGGTTCGAAGGAAACCACCTGCTGCAGAACCCGGCCCCGGGCAGCGTGGTCATCCAGGTGAGAACTCAGCCTTTACGCTTCACGGGTGAAAGCCTCTCGCATGCCGTTGATGTTTCCCCAATCTTACTAACTTACTAAATCTTTTACACGGTGCTCCTCCTCGGCACCCCTCAGATTGGCGGCAACCTGAGCGTGTCCAAGAACCACTTCCCGTGCGACTGCCGCCTGCACGGCGTGCTGGCCGGGCCCCTCGCCAGGCAGTCCTCGCTCGACTTCCGGGCGCACAACTTCTGCATCAAGCCGCTGCACGCCAACGGCCAGACCATGAGCGCCATGGACGCCGTGGACGCCGCCGCCCTGGCGCGCTGCCCGGAGGCGGCCCTCGTCAGGAGCAGCACGGAGGCGACTCACGGGGGTGGGGGCGGCGCCGGGGGCGGGGCCAGGGGCGCTAAGGGCGCCGTCGGCGGCGGCGCGGGAGGGGTCACTGGAAAGGCACCGGCGGCCTCGTCCGGGCGGCCTGGTGCGCTCACCACCGCCTCCGTATTCGGCGTCGTCCTGGCCTGCTGCGCCGTCCTGGTGAGGTGATCGGTGGCGCCCCGCCAGTGGTCCTGGTCCGGGCAGCACTGCTGGCAGAGTCACATGCGCGTGACTGGCGGCAAACATTCGAACTGACGATCGTATTCCCCACTCTCGTGCGGAACGATTACAGGAAGGACACTCCTGAGTCGCGTTCCAGTCCAGCAGGAGGGCGGAAGTGCGACGACTCTTTGTGGGCGAGTTACCGATGCACGAGCAGTAGTAGTATCTACTTCTTTTGTCCTTCTAGAGGAATCACACCTCCCAGAGAAACTCGTGTCCCTTTTGTACACGATCTAACCCAAGGAGAACGTTCAGGTCACCAAAACATTGTCCGTCAACATTTAGTCATTTATGTACTGACATTTCGTGAATGCGTCAAAGTCCACTACTTGCCCTACTTATGCCTTTGTGTTCTCCTTGGAAATGTCTCACGTTCCTCAACTACTTCTTCTGTACAAGTTTTGATTAAGAAGAACTGTTTCACGACTTTTAAAAAGTCTTTTATGAAGATGAATTTGGAATGAATCATGGTACGACCCTGCACAGTAAAACATTTTGTGTTTGTAGATAAATTGAATATTTTAGATTTACAATATGAATATCACTCTCCCGTAAAGCCGTAGTTTACATATTGATATAACCTCGTGATGTTCACCGTTCACATCATGCAAGTCCATTGTGTATACGTGCACAAAACATAGTCAAAAGTGATGTAATTAATCTATAAATCCACTCGCTAAAACAAAGTATACTCAATACTAAAGAATAACGGGTGTGTGTGATATATATTTGACACGTTTTGTCCCCCTAGTTGTTTTAAATAAATAAAGGTTATCGTTGAAATGTTTCCGCTAATGTGGTTGCTCCATCCATGGCCGTTGCCCCCCGCACCCGCTCGAGGTCTATCCCGTATGCAGTGCGGGTCAGCGAGAGGTGCTCGCGTCCCGCACACACGATCCCTGTAGCGGCTGATTCACTTTGCACGCCGCCGCCTCCGAGGGGCGCGCTCTCTCCCTCTCTCTTTCCCTCACGCGCGCCGTCAGCGTGGCCACGCGAGTGCGACGGAGACGGCGACGGCGGGGGACGCGACGACGTCTCGCGCACGCAACGCGCGGCCCGGGCCCTTCTCGCGGGGAGTCGTATCGCTTATCTTGTTTTCAGAAAGAGAAAGAGAAAAGAGGGGTGAAGATAAAGTCCGTCGCGCTCTCCGCGTCGCGCGCCGCCGCGGCCGCTCCAGCGGCTGGGTGGCCGAGACACTCTGGAATAAAACGCGAGGGTGGCCGATAGGGTGGGGATGTGGGAGGGAGGGGGTCAAAGGGGAAAAGAGAAGAGGGGAAAGGGGGAAGAGGCGAAATGTTATTGAGGAAATAAAGACTGATTACAAGAACGGGGCGCAGATACCCCGGCCTGGAGGGTGGGAAGGTGTTGTGTGCCCACGCGTGAGTTGTGTGGCGACGGCTGTGGAGAGTGAGAGGAGAGATGGGGGAGAGGTGGGGTATATGGCTCGTAGGGGGTTAACGTAAAATTGCCACAAAAATAACTCTCAAAGAGCGGCTGGCACGTGAAGACCAGGAAGCAAAGCATGTACGGTCCGTGCCCCATGTACTACTACAAGGACAAGGGCATCGTGACTGCGAGGGCGACTCCAGAGGCGACACGCCCCTGGTGGAGGCTCCTGTAAATGGTAGCGCTTTCTCTCTCTCTTTCTCTCTCTCTCTCTCTCTCCCTTGTGGTGCGCGGGCTGGAGGAGGCCGGAGGGTCTGGCCTGCGCCTTGTTAGACATTTAGGCGTTTAGCGTTCGTGTCATGTCTGCGGAATCACGGCAAGGCGGGTGGAGAGGAGAGGGGGTGGGGGAGCACAGAGCAGCAGGGTGGTGCAGTGGAGGCGGTAATCAGGCACAACTCTTCCACAGAGGAGGCTCAGGCAGGGTCCGTCCTAGCGGTGCGCAGCTCATTAAGTTGTCGGAGCCGCGTGGGGTCTAGCGGGGCGGGGCGGGGCGGGTCCAAAACTCATCCCCGCCCATCAATTCCAAGAGGATCCCCCGAAAACAAAACTGCGTCTATAAAGCAGTGATCAGCGTAAACCCTGCCCCCCGCCCCCCTCGGCCCCAGCGGGGGGCCTAAGCGACGGCGGGGCGGGGCGGGGCGGGGCGGGGCAGGGGCCAAGCGGTCCGTGCGGGCCGGGCCCCGTAGGGTTGTGGGAGGTTCTGTCCCGGGTCTCCGTTCCCGCTTGGCCTCTCTAATGACCTGTGACCGCCCCGCCCCGCCCCACCGCGCCACGCCCCGCCACGCCCCAGTCGTCCCACGGCCACTAAAGCCCGTCCAAAGCAACGAGCTACTGCACCGTAAAACAGTGTCCCACCCGGGCCCCACCCCTCTCCGCATCCCTCCCCGGCCCGACTCCCCCAGGTGATGCAGTGTGTAGCGCTGTCCATATATCCACCATGGCGTCATCAAGTGGGAAGATGTTTCAAATTATTGTGTGCATTTGCTAACAAATGAAAACTCTTTTTTTGACAACTTTCAACTTGTATGATCGTGTGTCGTCGTCAGGAAGGCGACGTCTTTTACGCAGACCGCACCTTTCTCCCCCAAGGAGGTTCCACCCCGTTCCCCCTCGCCTCCCGCCTCCCGCCTCCCGCCTCCCGCCCCACCTCCGCCCAGACGTGATCGGTTGTTATCCAGCAGTGGTCCTGGTCCGGGCAGCACTGCTGGCAGAGTCACATGCGCGTGACTGGCGGCAAACATTCGAACTGACGATCGTATTCCCCACTCTCGTGCGGAACGATTACAGGAAGGACACTCCTGAGTCGCGTTCCAGTCCAGCAGGAGGGCGGAAGTGCGACGACTCTTTGTGGGCGAGTTACCGATGCACGAGCAGTAGTAGTATCTACTTCTTTTGTCCTTCTAGAGGAATCACACCTCCCAGAGAAACTCGTGTCCCTTTTGTACACGACCTAACCCAAGGAGAACATTGAGGTCACTAAAACTTTGCCCGTCAACATTTAGTCATTTATGTATTGACATTTCGTGAATGCGTCAAAGTCCACTACTTGCCCTTCTTATGCCTTTGTGTTCTCCTTGGAAATGTCTCACGTTCCTCAACT